GCCGTCCGCAGAGCAGCCCCTCCGGCCGCGGCCGCCCACTGGCCCCCGGCCCGGCTCTATGGACAGGAGCTCGCTGCTGCAGCTCATCCAGGAGCAGGTGCGTGAGGGCAGGGCGGCGCCCTATACTCGGCGGCCGCAGGTGCCCCCGCCCCCCCGCCCCGCACGACCTTGGCCCTGAGCCTGAGACCCGAGGGGAGGGCGCTGCACTCGGACCTAGGCTGAGGGTTCCGGGCAGGCAGGGTGGGATTTAGGGGGGAGGACCCTGGCTGTCCCTCGGGATGGCTGGGGCCTCTGGGCCAAGGGTGCTTGGACCTGCTGCTGGAGCTAGCCTGGCCCAGCCCTGTGATGAGGGTCTGAGCCCGCGCTCAGGCCCAGGCCGGCTGGCCCCCCCCCCCACCTCCAGCAGCTGGATCCTGAGAACACGGGCTTCATCGGCGCAGACACCTTCGCTGGGCTGGTGCATAGCCATGAGCTGCCTCTGGACCCTGCCAAGCTGGACATGCTGGTGGCCTTGGCCCAGAGCAACGAGCGGGGCCAGGTCTGCTATCAGGAGCTGGTGGACCTGGTCAGTGCCACTGGGGGAACAGAGGGGAGTCCCAGGCCTGCAGCACAGCAACCTGTCCAGAGAGGGTGGGCAGGTGGCTCTTCCTTGCCACCCAGCCCACGGGGGATGTGTGTGGACATGGGAGCTGGGTGGCACAGCGGGCAAGCGTCGGGGGGGCCTGGACTGACACTCAGCCCTGCCCCTAGATCAGCAGCAAGCGCTCAAGCAGCTTCAAGCGGGCCATCGCCAGTGGTCAGCGGGCATTGCCCCGGGACGGGCTGCCGGACGAGCCCGGCCTGGGCGTCTACAAACGGTTCGTGCGCTATGTGGCCTACGAGATCCTGCCCTGTGAGGTGGACCGCCGTTGGTACTTCTACCGGCACCGCAGCTGCCCACCCCCTGTGTTCATGGCCTCTGTCACCCTCGCCCAGGTAAGCGCCACCCGTGCCCCAGCTGCCCCCACGCCCAGCCTCGCCCCGCCTGACCCCTATATCTCCAGATCATCGTGTTCCTGTGCTACGGGGCGCGGCTCAACAAGTGGGTGCTGCAGACCTACCACCCGGAATACATGAAGAGTCCCCTGGTGTACCACCCCGGGCACCGCGCCCGGGCCTGGCGCTTCCTCACCTACATGTTCATGCACGTCGGGTGAGTGACTGGGGCTGGGGCAAGGGGCTGGGGAGGGAGGAGGCTGGGAGGAGACCAGGATGCTGCCCTGCCCTCAACGCCCATCCCCCATTGCCACAGCCTGGAGCAGTTGGGGTTCAACGCGCTCCTGCAGCTGATGATTGGGGTGCCCCTAGAGATGGTGCACGGCCTGCTCCGCATCAGCCTGCTCTACCTGGCTGGCGTGTTGGCAGGTGAGGCAGGCGCGTGCCCGGCCCCCTACCCTGCCACCAGGCCACGCCCTCACACCCTCCTCCCGGCTCACAGGCTCTCTGACCGTCTCCATCACCGACATGCGGGCCCCTGTGGTGGGCGGTTCCGGCGGGGTCTACGCCCTCTGCTCGGCACATCTGGCCAACGTTGTTATGGTAACTGGGCTGCACAGGCGGGGGCTGGGGATGCCCAGGGGGGGGGGGGCCTGTCCCGCCTCACAGCCTCTGTCTGCGCCACCAGAACTGGGCCGGGATGCGGTGTCCCTACAAGCTGCTAAGGATGGTGCTGGCCTTGGTGTGCAGTGAGTAGGGGGCCGGGCGGGGTCAGGCGGGCGGGGACCCCAGCCTGCGGCCAGGGCGCCTCCCACAGCGCCTCCCACCTCCTTCGCAGTGAGCTCCGAGGTGGGCCGGGCCGTGTGGTTGCGCTTCTCCCCACCAGTCCCTGCCTCGGGTCCGCAGCCCAGCTTCATGGCGCACCTGGCAGGTGCAGTGGTGGGCGTGAGCATGGGCCTGACTATCCTGCGTAGCTACGAGGAGCGTCTGGGTGACCAGTGTGGCTGGTGGGTGGTGCTGCTTGCCTACGGCACCTTCCTGCTCTTTGCCATCTTCTGGAACATCTTCGCCTACGACCTGCTGGGCGCCCATGTGCCCCCGCCGTCCTGACAGGCCTTGGGCCAAGGCGTGGGGTTCGGTGGCCGCTGGCGGGCTGCGCGTCCATTCTCTGTGAATGTTCGTGTGGAAGCTGTTTTTCCCCCTGGGGGGTGGGTGGCCCCTGGGGCCCTACCAAATCGAGCCAAGCCTTACACCAGCCCCGGCTGCCCCATCCCAGGCCTCAGGGGGTGGGGCTGGGTAGGAGGTGGTCTCCAAGCGAGGCCCAGAGGAGACCCTGCCCTGTTCCCTGGTCCCAGAACTTGCGGTCTGAGCCTTTTTGGACAACGAATAAATATTTTACACAGGATTGCTGGCCGTGCATGGGCTGTGGGGCTCACCTGGCCGCCCCATGTGCTGAGTAGACTGTGAGGGACCCTGGGTTTCCAGCCATGGCATCTCTGTCTGTCCTGTCCTATGAGAGATTTCCCGACAGTGAAAAAAGCGGGGTACCCCTCTCCTGGGAAGGGAACCGTGGCCTTACAGGCAGGGGTACGTTCAGCACAGGTTTATTGAGCTCTGAGGGCGCCGTCCTCTGACTGGTGCCCTGCTACACGCACAGCTGCCACGTCAGGGAAGCAGGCCCTGCCACGGCCCAGGTCAGTCGGTCTGGGTCCTGCGCCTCTTGGCTGGCCTGGTGTCACCAACGTTGGCCGTGCCAGGGCCGAGGTCAGGCAGCACGCCTGGGCACAGCTGCTGCCCCACGGCCCAAGTCCACAGTGCTGTCTCCACGAGGTGTGGGGTCCATGGCCCAGAGACACTGACTGGGAAGGAGCAGAGAGAACCTGGGCCCAGAGGTGCTGGCCACCCCCACCCTTCCCCAGGTATCAGGAGGAGTTACCCATGACGATCGGGGGTCCCCTCACCTCGGTTCAGAGCCGCGGCACGCTCCTGCACCTGGCCCAGGTATAGCTGGTAGTGCTGGAGCGTATACTGCAGGGCAGACAGGCTGGGCACCGCAGCCACCGCCTCATCTGACATGAAAGCTGCTGCTTCAGGAGCTCCGGCTGCAAGGACTGCTGTGAGCAGTGAAAGGGCAGCACTCTAGGCCCATCACTCAGCGGACAACTCTACCTCCAGAACAGGCCACCCGGGTTCCCATTCCACCCCCACACAGCTGCGCTGGGTGGACAAAGAGGACACTACACCCACCCAGATGGCCACTTACCTGAGGCCGTGGCAGGGCCCACACCGCGGAGAGCACACAGCTCTGTGACGGCCGCCAGCACGTCGGGCAGGAGGCGGAAGGCAGCGGCTGAGCACTGCACCACGAGCTCCGGGGGGTTGGAGGCTACCAGCTGCTGCAGGCGCGGCCGGAATCGGCCCCTCTGGGGGTGGCCAGGCCAAGGTGATTGGAGGCAGACCTGGTCAGGGAAGCCCCGCCCCCAGGAGAAAGCCCCGCCCCCACGAGGGCTCGCCCCGATGAAACTCCGCCCCGCGAGGAAGTGCCTCCCCGGAAAGAAGCTCCGCCCGCTCCTGGAGGCCTGCTCCCACGTGGGAATACTCACCGCAAGTTTCCACGCCAACAGCCTCTCCAGCTCGTCTCGTGTCACGTGCTTCTCCGCACGACCCCCGATGGCCGCGGGCAACTCCTCTCGATACCTGGGGAAGGGCGGTGACGCGGTCCGGGCCACGGGGAGCCGTCGACCTTACCAGGCTCCCTCCCCTCCGCCAAGCCCCCTACCGCCCTACCGCCCTACCACCCTACCGCCCTACCACCCTACCGCCCTACCACCCTACCACCGATCCAGGGTCTCCAGCCGGCCCTGGGAGCCCGCGCGCGCCCGCAGCACCTCCCCGTGAAGCGCCAGGACGGTGGCCCAGCGGCTCGGGTCCTCACAGCTCCAGAGCCCGCTGGAGGCCGCCATGTTCGCCGGCTGGGGCGGGGCTTCACTGGCGGGGGCGGGCCCTCAGCTGGCCCAGGGGCGGGGCTTCACTGGGCGGGGCGGGCCCGAGGAAAGCGTCTCAGTTGGCACGCCGAATGCACGGACAACTGCAGCTGAAGCCGGTTTTGTAGTGGGCGCTCAGATGGGTGGAGTGTAGGGAGGCGGGGCCAGGCCTTCGGGGAAAAGTGTTCAAGGGTGTGGGGCAGGGAAAGGCTGGGGCTGCCCTGGCATCCCTGACCTCGAGACCGTCGCCTTTGCGCCGGCGCCCCCGGCTAGCCCCGCCCCGTTATCGAAGCCCGGAGACGCAAGCGCGGCCCCGCCCACCTCACGTGGCTATCCGCTAGCCCCGCCCCACGCAGCCGGAAGTTCCGGTGGCTGATCGCTGGACCCGGCCCGAGCGGATCGCGGGCTCCGGCTGTGGGCGCAGGGCGGGCTGGGCGCGGAGCCTGGGAGCGGAGCCCAGGCTGAGCCGCGCGGCGCCATGAAGGGCAAGGAGGAGAAGGAGGGTGGCGCGCGACTGGGCGCTGGCGGCGGAAGCCCCGAGAAGAGCCCGAGCGCGCAAGAGCTCAAGGAGCAGGGCAACCGGCTCTTCGTGGGCCGCAAGTACCCAGAGGCGGCGGCCTGCTACGGCCGCGCCATCGTGAGTGTGCCCGGGTCCGGGAGGGGGCGGGGCCCCATCTTCAGCCCCGCGTCCACCCCAGCCCCTACCCGGCCGCCCTGCCGGCTTTGGTACGAGGCTTTTGACTCGGACCCGGGGGAAGTCACAGGCTCTGGGGACTCAGTGATGATCTTGTTCCAAAGGGGCCAAGGCGACGGCTGTGGAGCGCAGTGCTAGATGCAGGACAAGTGTGGTGGGTGGGGCGAGCTCAGGGTGTTTAGGATGGCTTGGTTGGAGTACAAGGTCTCTTGTACCTCGAGGACCTCAGGTCCAAAACAGAGGTCTCCACAGGTCTGGGAAACTTACGTTTACAAGATCAACTGGAGTCAAGATGTGGGTTCCCAGCCAGGCATGGGGGCCAGGACACCACCTCAGCAAGTCCTGGGACCCAGGGCCTTTGACTCCCGAGACGCCTGTAGTTTGATTCCAGCCCTCTGTCCCAAAGCTGGAACAGGATCTGGGGCAGAGGGCGCAGGCTGAGCTCGCGCCCTCAGCCCCTCATGTCGGCTGGTCTGGCCTTGGTCCCCAGACCCGAAACCCTCTGGTAGCTGTGTACTACACCAACCGGGCACTGTGCTACCTGAAGATGCAGCAGCATGAGCAAGTGCTGGCCGACTGCCGGCGTGCCCTGGAGCTGGACGGGCAGTCTGTAAAAGCACACTTCTTCCTGGGGCAGTGCCAGCTTGAGATGGAGAGCTATGACGAAGCCATTGCCAACCTGCAGCGAGGTGGGCCGGTGGGCACGGGAGCAGGGAGGTGGCTTAGCCTTGGACTGGCCAGCAAGTGACCTGAAGCCCCATTCCCCAGCCTACAACCTGGCGAAGGAGCAGCGGCTCAACTTTGGTGATGACATCCCCAGCGCTCTGCGCATCGCTAAGAAGAAGCGCTGGAACAGCATCGAGGAGCGGCGCATCCACCAGGAGAACGAGCTGCACTCCTACCTCACGCGGCTCATCCTGGCACAGCGGGAGAGGTGGGCTGTGGCCAGAGCGGGCTCTGCCCCCCCCCCCAAGTCATGCAGTCTGAGGTTGAGTCAAAAACGTTTATTGAAGGAGCAGGAGATGGGAGGCCTGAGCATTAGCCCTGAGGTTGGGTGGGATCCGATCTCTCATGGCCAGACCCATCTGACCAGCTCCTTGTTGGTCCCCAGGGAGCTGGAAGAGTGTCAGCGGAACCACGAAGGTGACAAGGATGAAAGCCACGTCCGGGCCCAGCAGGCCTGCATCGAGGCCAAGCATGTGAGAACACCGCCCAGTCCCACCATGGGTGTGTGTTTGCATGCACATGGGGAGGCGGGATCGGGGGCGTCCAGCTCCTGCCCAGCTGCTTGTTTCTCTACAGGACAAATACCTGGCAGACATGGATGAGCTCTTCTCCCAGGTGGATGAGAAGAGAAAGGTGAGGTCAGTCTGTTCTCCGGGGCTTGTGGGAGTCCCTGTCCTGGTCCCTGACCTCTACCTGTGTGTTGCAGAAGCGAGATATCCCTGACTACCTGTGTGGTAAGATCAGCTTCGAGCTGATGCGGGAGCCGTGCATCACGCCGAGCGGCATCACCTATGACCGCAAGGACATTGAGGAGCATCTGCAGGTGAGGCCGTGGCTGGCGGGGACAGGTACTGCCCGGCCCAAGGCCCGAGTACTCTCTGACCCTGTTGTCCCTGCAGCGCGTGGGCCACTTTGACCCTGTGACGCGGAGTCCGCTGACTCAGGAACAGCTCATCCCCAACCTGGCCATGAAAGAGGTCATTGATGCGTTCATCTCGGAGAACGGCTGGGTAGAGGACTACTGAGGCTGCCAGTGCAGGGCCTGCATCCCTCCCGGCCCAGGGTTGGCAGCCCCCAGCCCCTGTACATAATCTGTCCTTGGAACCCTCGGTGTCCCGCCCCACCCTGTCGTTCTGCTGTTGGGCTGTGGACTGCTCTCTCTCTCTCAGCACTGCCCTCGTCGGGTATGAGCCTCCCACCCCTGCTTCTGGGCCCGAAACAGCAGTGAGGGTGGGTTAGGCTGAAGCCAACACTGCTGCCATTGTCCCTGTAATAAAGTCTGTGAGCACTACACGGTGTGTGCTGATGTGTGACGGGGCTTGGCTGGCAGCTCCTCCGGTCACCCTAAGAAGGTGGAGATAAAGACGCTGGTGTCCAGGTTGAGAGTAGCGTGCCACCATCGGTCGGGGAAGTACAGCACCTGGCAGGGAGAGAGGGCACGGGTTAGCTGAGGACCCATGGCCCCACCCCACCCCCTCTGGCCAGCCACTGACCTCCCCAGCCTGGATGGTGCACTCCAGGGGCCTTGCGGAGGGTGCTAGAGTAGGGTATGTGTCGTGGAACCAGGCCAACGTGGTCTTGTTGGGGTGGAACTCGGGTGTCTTCTCGGGGGGGTACAGGAACCAGCGCTAGGGGCAAAAGCAACAAGGTCACGCTCATGCCGGGAGCAGGAAGCCCCAAGCCTCAGCTCCCAGCCCGTGCTGACCTTTCGGCCGTAGATCACCTCCGAGAACCCAGGCCCGTGCCAGTGGAAGGGCACACCAGAGCCGGCTCCTGTGGGGTCAGAACAACTAGTGACCATCTTATCACCTCCAACGTACACACACAAATCCCTGGATCCTGTGGGGACGCCCACCTGCGATTCCAAAGCTGTAAGCAGGGGTGGTGCCCAGCAGGCCAAATGGGGGTGGTGAGTAGTGGCGGAAGAGCGGCGCCCATTCAGTGAAGTTGTTGTCGCCGAAGAAGTACAGCGTGTCTGCCAACAGAGCACCAGAGGAGATTGGAATCCTGACACCCAAGTGCCCCCCCCATCACCACCACTCAGGCGTGGCTCACCATTGCCCAGAGAAGTGGGGTCCTGGGGGTGCAGCAACTGCTCCACATACTCCTGGAAAGGCAGGTCCACTGCAAGAAAAGGACCTTCAGGACCGGCTGGTCCTGTCTGCGAAAGCTAGCAAGGTGGCAGGCACGGGGTGGGGAAGCTCACCTTTCTGGTAGGAGAAAGTGTTGGCTGTACTCAGCCGGACCACGCTGTCCCCAAACAAGGCCAGCAGCCTTTCGCGGGAGCACAGGGCCCGGAACCTCTGCGGGGCAGGGAGAAGAACTTAGCGGCTAGGCCCAGCGCGGCCAGAGCTGCCCAGGGCAGCCGCACACTCACCGTGTTGTCTGTGAGCCCCTGCAGGATGACGGGTCTGAAGAAGGCGTAGCTGCAAAGAAGGGCAGAGTCACTCCCGGGTCTGACCCACACCCACCACCGCCCGCGCCCCACGCGTTCGCCAGGCATCAACGAGAACCGGGGAGGTGGTCTCTGGGGGTTCGGGCTGACACGAGGGGTCAAAGGTGACGGAGATCAGGAGCCGGCTCTGAGGGGCGGGCCAGGGCACGTACCGCTGCACGAACTCGGCGTAAGTGAGGTCGGCGCGGCGCTCCACAGTGCAGCGCTCCTCCTCGGCCACGGCCGCCGGCGCCCCCGGCCCGCCCCGCTGCCTGCGGGCACAGCCGGATCAGCGCCCCCACCCCGGCCCGCGCCCCCCACCCGCGCCCCAGCCCCGCGCCGCTCACCAGCCCCCGTCGCCCGCTTGCCCGGAGCCGGGCCTCCCTAGAGCCGCCGGCGTCCACAGAGCCTGGAGCAGAAGCAGCTGCACCCCCAGCGCCATGACCCTGCGGAGGCCACCAGCGCCCGGCCCTCTGCCGCGGGGCACGCCGGGAAGGCCAGCCGCGCGCCACGCGGGCCCACTATTGGCCGAGAAACCCGTCGTCGTGGCAACAGGCGCGCGCGCCGCACGGCTTCCGGAAGCTCTGACTCCGGTCGGCCCCGTCCCCCCGGAAGGCGGAGCGAAGGACGCACTAAGAGCTGCTATTGGCTCCGCCAGTTACCATGGTGACACAGCCACCCAAGAAGACCCCCGCCCACAAGAGCTGGCTCCGCGGCGCTTTCTGGCAAGAGGCAGCCCAGACAGCGACTCCAGCTTGCTTTATTTGGTTCACAAGTTCCAGCCCCTTCCTCCTGGGCACAAAGTCTGGGCAAGAGGCGTCCATGCAGGCGCGGTCGGGGGCTGGGGTCCCGAGCTCCTGCAGAAGCCATCGCCTCAGGGCAGGTTCCAGAGGTGTCCCGAAGGCCGGGTCAAGAGTACTCGCAGAGGTGGCCGCAGCCGGCGGGGCAGTGGGAGCTACCCTCCAGCCACTTCATGATGTGCTGCAGATGGCCGCCGTGGCTGCAGCCCTGGCACCACACGAACAGGCCCTTGACCACGTGGTGGCAGACGGCGCACATGCTGGCGCAGCGGTGACACCTGGAGGCGGGAGGCTCCCTCAGTGGGGTTCAGGGCTGACCAGGGGCCCACCCCACCGTCCCTGGGCCCTTCCCCTGGCCCGCGGGCCCACCTGCCGCAGACCCAGCCCCGGCCGCTCATGGGCCGCTTGCAGTGGCTGCAGTTGACGTGCAGAGAGGTGGAAGCCTGGTTGAGGCAGCTGATGGCGCGGCTGGTGCTCAGCTTGACCACCTCGTTGGACACGTTCCAGAGGCGGAAGCGCTGCAGAAGGTCGATGTAGGACGTGTACCAGTGCTCCTGGCGGTGCGGGGAGGGGCGGGGAGGGGCGGGGAGAGGCAGGGAGGTCAGGACCCGGCAGGCACCCCCGGTTGGCCGGGCTTCGGCGTCAGCGGTGCCGGGCGGGCAGGGCACGCAAGGCACACACCTGGGCCTGCTCATCAATGTCCTTGCGCACGCGCTCCCCCAGCACGATGAGCACCGACACGGCCATCTGCACGTCGCCCTGCTCAGCGTAGAAGCGCAGCATGTCGCGCACGAGGGCGCTGAAGAAGTCCGGTGGCAGGCGGTTGTCGTAGAGCGTGTGCGAGACTGAGATCAGCGAGAAAGAGGAGTCCACAGGCGCCAGCGACACGGCGTCCGCCTCACTGCCGCTCACGTGTGGCGAGTCGGCCTTGTCCTGCAGATGCTCAGGCCCAGGCGGCGTGTCCACGATCTCGTGGCGCAGTGGGAAGGCCTCCTGGGGCAACACGTACTCGGGCTCCTCAGCTGGGGGCGGGGGCCAGGGAGAAGGCGGGGTTTGACCCTAGGCCCCGCCCCACCCCCAGCCCCGCCCCAACCCCGCCTCCGGCCGTGCCCTCCCGCTCACGGTGCGTGTGGTCCGGGTCCAGGAGGTACAGCTCCTCGTCGTCGCCCTCCACATCACCCAGGAGGTAGTCGGCCGGCACGTCGCTTCCCTCGGTCTCCTCGTTGTCTACCCGGCGGGGAGGGAGTGGCACTGAAGAGTGGCTCCCTATGGAATGCCCCGCCCTGCCCACAGCAGAGCCCCCGACCCCTACCTTCGTTGGTGATGAGCGTGGCGGAGGAGTCGAGCAGAACTGTGTCGCTCCGAGTGTCGCCCTTGCTGCGGTCCAGCCGGGTCTCGCTGCCCAGCCCTGGGGCCATTTCCTTTAGGTTGAAGCTGGAGGCAAGGAGGGGCCAGTGGGTGGGCGGGGCCTTCAAGCCTAAGGCCGGGTCCCATCCTCTTGGGAGAGCCCACCGCAAGCTCTACCTGTTGATGAGCGGCAGGCCACAGGAGCTGCCCTTTCCCACGCTGTGGTTGAGGTTGGTGGAGGGCACAAGGCCAGGGCTGCAGTAGATGATACGCAGCATGGTCCACGTCTGAGCCACCTGGGGGCGGGCACCGGTCACTCACAGGGCCCTGGGCACCGCTGCCTGGGAAGGCCCCCTGCACGGACAGAACCCAAGCTCTCCAAGTTCAGCTGCCCCAGGGAACGTGGGGAACCCGTATCCCATAGTGCAGTAGCACACAGGGAGGTGGGGGCGACAGCGTGTGGTCTTGTTGGTGGGCTGGGGGACCGACGCCTGCGAAGGCCACAGCCCTCCGGGCCTGCAGTCATGTCTGCCCCACCCACCTGGTTTCGGCCCAGCTCCCGGGCCACCTTGGCGTTGTGGTCACAGAGTTCAGCTAGCGGCCGGCCGGCCAAGGCGTAACGCCGGGCCGTGTCCACAAACCAGCTCATGCAGCTGCCGCCAGCCTCTGTCTCAAAGACGCTGAGAGCACTGGAGGCCAGGCCCGCAAAGGGCTCGGCGGGGTCCAGCTTGCGCTTGAAAAAGATGGGGTGGCGCCGGTCACCAGCATAGGGCTTGCGTCCAGACTCAGAGGCCACCAGGCTCTCCTTGGCAGCAAAGGCCAGGTCCCCAAAGAGGCCATAGCAGAGGCCCTCGGGGTTGGCGCGCTCGACGGGCTGGCTGGCGTCACGGAACAGGTGCTGGCACAGCGTGCTGTCCTTGGAGCCGGACAGCAGGAAGGAGGGGTCGTGTGGGTGGCGCCAGGCGATGCCTGTTGTGACGTCGCGGTGCTCCTCAAACATGGCGGCAGGCACAAAGGGCCGGCGCACATCCCACACGTAGATGTTGTGGTCCACCATCATGGAGCAGGTGGCCAGGTGGTGGCGGCACTCAGGCCGCCACTTGACACGGGCCACCGAGGCGATGGTCTGCACGCAGTGCACCTCCCTGGCACGGGGCGTGGTCACGTCCCAGACCTTCACCATCTTGTCGCGCCCGCCGGTGGCCAGCCAGCCCCTGCAAGAGCCCCACCAAGACCTCAGCATCCTCTCCTGCGGGAGGGGGCACCTCAGCCTTGCTGTACCCTACTCTCTCTGACTCACAAGTCTGGGACAGTGAGAGAGACCTCTGCGCCTCACTCGTCAGCCCAATCCCCTTACACATGCCACACCTGTCCTCAGGTGATCCCCCATACCGCACCTCTCGTTAGGTAACTTCCCCGCACACCACATCCGCCCTCAGGAGACCCCACATACACACATCTGCCTTTGGGTGACACCCCACACGTATACCCCCTGCCCTCAGGTGACCCCCTACACCCTGCTCTCGGGTGATTCCTCACACCACACCTGTCCTCAGGTGGGCCCCCACACCACCTTGTTCTCGGGTAAGCCCTCACACCACACCTGCCCTCAGGTGACCCCCTCACACCACACCTGTCCTCAGGGTGCCAGTCACAGCAGAAGACAGGCCCGTTGTGGGCTGTGAACATCCTCTCGCAGCGGTCAGGCCGCCGGATGTCCCAGAGCTGCACGTTGCCATTCTCGAAGGTGGACGCAAAGGTGAAGTAGTCCCGGATGCTGAACTGCACATCACGCACGCTCTCAGACTGGCCTGCGGGTGGGTGGCCATGCAGGGGAGGGGCAGGGGGAAGTGAGGGGCCGGTGCTCAGGATCCCGGAGGGGAGAAGGCCTGGAGGAGCCCCTGAGTGGCTGAGGACTCGTTTCCATACCTTCCTGCAGCCTAGGCCTAGAGCCCAGAGGACAAAGTGTACACCCCCAAGTGCTGCCCAGGGGACAGCCACAGGGAGAGCCTCGCGGAGCAGACACGGGCACTGGGGCAAAGATGCAGACGCCCAGCCCACGCCCTGCCCAGACACTGCTGGCCTTGCCTCCTGTCTCCCTGCCTTCCCACAGCCCCTGCCCCGGCTCACACCTCCACACTTCACTCTCTCCGACAGGTCGCCCCCCGCCACTCCCCCGCAGGTCCGGGTGCCACTCCCACATCATCCAGGCCTGTCCCTGCTGAACTCCTCCTCCAGGAAGCTCTCTGGTGCACACCTGAGAGCCTCTGAAGCAGGCGGCACTCCTGGGCCAGCCTGGACAGGCTGGGATACCCGCTGAGACACGCACCTGTCCCAGCCCACCCCTGCAGGCCTCACCAGAGAAGGTGCTGACGGAGTCCTTCCTGCGCAGGTCGAAGCACTTCATGAAGCCGTCCTGGGAGCCGCTGAGCAGCATGTGGGCCTCGGCAGGGTGGAAGCAAACCTTGTTCACCGTGCGCTTGTGCTCCGTGAACAGCTGGTCCTGCTTGTTGCGGGACGGCCGGCCCAGGTTCCAAGTGACCACCACTCCGTTGGTGGCCGCTGTGGCCAGCAGATTCTCGTCCATCTGGTGCCACACCACATCCGCACAGCTCAGGTTGAGCGAAGGCTTGCGGCCCACACGCAGGTTCAGCTTCTCCACGAACTGCTCGTCCTCGATGCTGTAGATCTTGAAGATGCTGCGGCCGGCCACCACCACCTGGGCCGCGTCACGGCACACGCTGATGGCATTGGCCGGCGCGTCCAGATGGCAGTGCATGGTGCGGCCCGTCAGCACGTTGCCACCCAGGGCCGTGCTTACGCGGGACATTTTCTCCATGGGTGCGCAGCCGGTGCCGGCAGCAGGTCGGTGAAGAGGCTGGGCTGGTCGAGGGTAGGTGTGAACCTCACTTCAGACCCTTCACACTGGCTGGGCCCTCCAGGACTGCTCAGGCCTGGGCTGGGCTGTTCAGCCTTGGGGAGCTGGTTCAGGGCAGTCCACGGGTCTCAGTCCGTCAGTCTAATTAATAGGCAAGTGCAAACTCACTGGAGTCAGTCCAGCCCATCACCCTAGCTGGGTAAGCCACTTGGTGCCCCAGCTGCCCTGAGGCCGGTTATTCCATGTCTGAGGTCCGGGGAAGACCCTACCTGGTCAGTCCCGGTCTAGGCCCCCTTTCTACCCCTCCATCAGTCAGAGCTGGGCGGTCACTGGCCCCTCGGTCAGTCAAGCTCGGCCGTCCGCACCGCTGGGTAGGCGAGCGAGGTGGCTCCCGCGTCCACACGGAGGCGGGGGAGTGACAAAAGCGGGGAGGGGCAGATGCGCCCGGAGGGCCCAGGCGATAGAGGCGCGGGGGGCATAGAGGGGCCTCGAGGCCCGAGCTGCTGAAGGAGCGGGAGGGGTTTGGAAGACGGGCGGGGCGGGAGGCAGGAGAGACGCAGGCGGCGCGGAGGTTCCGCTGGCCCAGGGGAGTAGGGACAGCGGGACCGGAGCCAGAGCAGCCGGGGCGGCCTTGATCTCCGCTGGCTCCCAAATCGTTTACCAAAGCGGCCCGCCGAACCGGAACCGCCGCGCCGGAAGCGGTCCGTTTCTTACCTGCCCCTCGCCGGAAGCGGTCCGTTTTCACCCGCCCCGCCGGAAGCGGGCACGGATTCTCGCGCACACCACAAATGTTCCGGGTCAGGGAACCGCTTTGGTAGCGGCGGAGGGTATCCCAGGATTGGGGTCGAGGGGCCTCCCGGACTCCCCAGTTTCGCCTCGGTGTTTTTCTTTCATCTCAGTCTTTTAGTGCCAGTGTTCATCGTCGATATCTCCCTCTTCCCAGGTGCATCAGCAAGTCAATCTGCCTTAAACGATTCCCAGATTCCTCCAGTCTTCCCCCAAATCCATCCTTGCAGACTCCTCTGAGCCTCAGGAGCAGCCTCCTAACTGCTCCGCCTGGGCCCACCTTTCCCCTTTGCCCTAAACCCTACAGGAGCTTGGTGCCACTCTTCCGCTTAAGCCCTGCCCCATATCTCCCACTGCACTCCTGGCCCCCACCTCTCCTGGTCTCCCACCAGGCTCTTCCCCACTCCCTGTGCCACAGCCCCGGTGGCTCCTGTCCCTTCTTTTAGCGCGCAGCGCTCCTTCCTGCCTCACGGCCATTGCCCCTGCTGTACCTGAAGGCTTCTCCTTGGCACCCCTCAGAGCTCAGCTGAAATGTCACCTCCTCAGAGGCCTTCCTGGCCACTCCTGTTACTGTCGCCTCCACAGCTGTCACAACCTGTTCCTTTGCTTATTGGTTATTGTTTGTCACTCACAAGCGTGAACTCAACAAGGGCAGGGATTGAGTCCATCTCAGTCTCCACCAAACTTCCAGTGCTTGGCACCACCTGTTTGCAGAACTCGTTCAATCAGTGACCCTCTCCCAGCCTCTCATTCTCTGCGGGGTGTGAGTCCTGGCTCTGCCCTTGAAGCACTGTGTGGTGTCTTAGGAAACCCGTGCCCCTCTCTTTGCCTCAGTTTCCCTGTGTGTAAAACGGGGCTCATTTCGGAGGGAGTATTAAGTGCAATGGCTTTAGCGTCTGGGAGGTTAGGGGCCTTCTGTGTTGGTTACTGCTCTGTTCCCAGTTTGGCACAGTGGCACCCAGCGCCAACATGTGTGTTGAAAGCACAAGCTGAGAGGTACACAAGGATCCACATAGATCTGGGCCACCCACAGCAGGCACACCCTCCCCCAGCATGGCCTGATGACCTAGAAACCACTCAGAGTCGTGTTTTTACAACATTTTTAATATATATTTTTATAAACAGGTCACATGATAAAATAGCACAAGAAACACTTACCAAATATAAGGTTATATCTTCCGCATATACAGGAGAATGAGGTCGCTATGTACAATAAGAAAATGATTTCAGGGGTCGGTTGGGTTTGTTTGTTTTTCCTCTCTCCCCTTAATTTTTCCTCCTATAGTTGTTGGAAATATCACAGCTTCAGTTGCGTTAATACTTTGGACAATGGACAGCTCCCTCCTCCCCACTAGTGGGCTGTGGAGAGGAGAGGCTGAAGAAACTGACTCCTGACCACTTCAGCCCCGGAGCCTCTGGCGGGCACTCCAAGGGGCAGGGAAATCTTTGGGCTGTTGAACCGTTTCTCTGCTTCAACAGCATCTGCTCTCTCGCTCGCTCTCTTTCTCTCTCACTCTCTGGCTCTCTGGAAACTGGTTACTATCTTCCAACCAGATTTGGGGGGTATATCTCCTGGGGCTCAAGGTTGGGATGGAAAGGGGTCCCAGCCCCCTCCTCAGCAATTGCCAAGATGTGCCAGCATCCCCCAGGACTTCCAAGTGTCTTGGGATCAGACAGAACATGGCCAAAGCCCGTCTGGGCAGGCAGAGGTTTGGGAAGCTGGGAAGGATGGGGGCGGTGGCTAGAGAGAAGCCTCCCCTCCTCCAGGTGTAGAGGGTATGCTGGCCACTGGAAGATTGGGATCGCTGGCTGATCCTGCCGCCAGCCTTGGCTGGGGCTCACTTCTGCTGAGTCCACCTGGCGGAGACCTGCCTAGGGTGAAGTTTGGTGCTGAAAGGCCTGAGCCAGCTGGTGGCAGGGGCTGCAGTGTGGGGTCTGCCCAGGCTGCTCCCAAGGCCTTCCGGCCCTCAGGTGTCAGCTCCAGCTCTGGCTCTCTCACTGTGCCTGAAGCACCCCTGGTTCAGGCAATGGCTGGATTGATACTGATCACTCCCAGGTCATGACTAGTCACCCAGTCTACCACTCTCCCAACCTAAATCTGCCCCAGCCTGGCCAGGGCCCAAGGACATGAAGGCCAGGTGTTGGGTGGCAGGGAAGAGGGAGGTCCCCTTCGGCGAGGCTGGCATGGGGTGGGAGAGGGGCGGGGTGGGGGGGCTTGGGCTCCTCGGGGGGCCATGGCTTTGGCGGTGGCCTGTAAACCCCTCGCACTCCAAGGAGGGCTCCAGGCGCTGTGCAGTGGAAGACGCGGAAGCCCTTGGGGCTCTTTCCTGCCCCTGTGTCCTGGGAAACCTAGCTCCCTCGATCCCCCCGGGGCCCTGTCCGGGATGGGGGCAGCGGGGAGACCGCGAGCGGGGTGTGGGCGGGGAAGGCGGTAAGGGCGGCCGTCTGGTGAGCTCAGAGCGTGTCCCCAGGACCGAACCCCGGCCCCCCCAGCGGGTGGGCGAGTGATGGCGGCGGCGGCGGCGGCGGCGGCGGCGGCGGCGGCGTGGGGGAGGGCGGGCGTGCAGTGCGGGCACGAGGGGCATGCACAAAGTCCCCGAGTGTGCGTGCGTGCGTGGGGCTGGCCCCACCGCCCCTCCCTGCCCCGGACGGGGCCAGGAGAGGAGCGGAGGGGGCGGGCGGGGCGGGGCTTTCCCTCAGCTTGCGGGTCCCCCGCGCTGGGCCACAGCGGGGCTCCCCTGAGGGCAGGGCCGGGAGAGGGGGGCTCAGCAGTGCCCCCGCACCCCCACCCAGAGCATGACTGGGTTCCCGCGATGGGGGCGGGCACGACCCCGCGCTACTCAATGACGAGGCAGCGGGGCAGGTGCTGCGAGAAGTACTTGAAGAGCTCGGGAGTGGCCCCCGGGCAGTTGGTCAGTTCCAGCTCCTCCAGCTCCTGCAGCTGCACCAGGCCCGACAGCCCTGTGGTGGTCAGCAGTGGGCAGCCTGCGGGCGGGCGGGCGGGGGGCGCGGCTCAGCCTGGGAGGGGCTGGCTGGGGGCAAGGCCGGGCGGGACCGGGACTGGCGGGGTTGGGGCTTGTCCCTGGCTCCCTCCTTCTCTGGTTTGGACCTGGGACACGGCCAGTCAGCCCAGGTGTGAATCTGCACAAGGGAGCAGACGGGTTGGGGGGGATGGGGTGGGGCTCGGACTAGTTGGGGTTGGTCACTGACTAGGGAGAGGGGGGGTCTCACCTGCCAGAGACAAGAGACGCAAACTCCTCATGGCCAGGAGGTGCTTCAGCCCGAAGTCCTGCACCTGGGTGCGAGGGCAGGGGTTATTACTGTCCGCCTACTGGGGGCGCCCCCCCAACCCCTGCCCTGCTCTGGGTTCAGATCACAGTCCTGGGCTGCTGGAGGGGCGGGAAGCGGGGCTAAAGAGGGCCCTTTCTTATCCCCCCACGGAGCCAGAAGGCAGCTTGGGAGCGCCGGTGAGGGCCCTGGGGACCCCGTAAGCCCTGCTTAGGTCGGCCGCTGGGTGCAGAGGGATCCCGGACTTCCCTACAGTGTGTGAGTGGGGCGGGGAGCAGGTCAGCGGATTGTCTGGAAGGGGGCATTTCCCTCAATCCCCACTTCCCCCACACCGTCCCCCATCCTCTGAGACAAGGAGGGCCGGGTACCTGGCAGCACCATCGCAGATAGAGGCTGCGTAGGGACGACATGGTGGATAGATAGCTGAGACCAGTGTCCGTGATGCGAACGCACCTGCGGGTGGACCAGAGGGAGCACTGCCCGAGACCACCTTCAACTCGTCTGGCTCAGTTCCTCGGCTCCAGCCCCTCGCTCCTCGTCCGGAGCGCCCCTGGCGTGGATTTACCCCCTGCCCCGCCCCCACAATAGCTCCTCCCTTTCCGTAGCCCTTCCCAGCCATGGTCCCACTTCCCACCCTGATCCCTCCGTGGCCCCACCCACTCCCGAGGGCCGCGGATTCAGCCCACGCTTGCTGTAGCCCAGCCCATTAGTCCAGGCCTTCTGCTTACAACGGCCCGCTCCAGCCAATCTGGCACCATCCGTTGACCCTACCGCGCCCCTCATCCAGGCTCCGCCCCCTTGCTGTAGCCCTGCTCACTCTTCCAGGCTCCCCGGTTGCCATGACCCCGCCCACTCCACGCTGGGCCCGCCCACTGCCCAGGCCCCGCCCCACCAGGGGTGTGGGCGCGCACCTGTCAAGCACGAGCTCCTCCAGGCGATGCAGGTCGCAGGCCACGTACTCGAGCGCCATGTCGGTGATGCGCGGACACCACGAGAGGTCGAGGCTGCGCAGCTTGCGCAGGTTCTCGGCCACGAGCTCGACGCCGTCGTCGGTGACCTTGGAGCAGCCCGACAGGCTGAGCGCCGTGAGGTTGGGCAGGCTGTGCACCACGTTGACCACGCCGTGGTTGGTGATCTCCCAGCAGGACAGCAGGCGCAGCGTGTGCGTGCTATGGCCCTGGCGCGCCGTGAAGTA